GCCTGCGGGATCAATTGTGCGCAGATGTAGCGGTCACAAAGTTCTCGCGCGAGTTCATCCGTAGTGCCCTGAAAGACATGCAGAACATGTGCACGGTGGAGCTGGCGTTGCGTTTCTCCCCTGGTGGTGGAGGGATCGAGAAGGCTTCTAAAGAGGTCGCCACGCACTCTTAGAGCTCATCCGGTTTGCAGCCTTCGAACAGGTGTCCTGCCCAGTTAGCATCGGAAAGTTGTGCGGAGTATGCGGCCGCCTCTGCAGTGAGCCCCCTCAATGCGAGCGCGAAGTTTCCGATTAAGTTTGTTGCGTTTCCAGCGCCTTATAAGCCCGCGGCGAGCGTGCCCAAAGATGTAGGAGGTGTAGATCGATTGCAGGAGCCAAATTAGAGGTTGCAAGGGTGCGAGTGTTTGCTTTGTTTCACAGGAAGAGCGTATGATGCCCACGCTGCATATTCGGTCGAGGAGAGGCCGGCGGGGAATGGTTGCATTCTGAACTGAGTCCAATCGGTGAGACGGGCTTGGCCCAGTGTTGGCGCATTTTCTGCCGCCGGTGTGAACGAAATGCGGAGTAAAAAGTGATCGCTGCCTAGGGTTTCGCCTAAATTTTCCCATGTAGCATCGCGGATGCGACGGGTGAGGGAGAGGTCGGGGCATGTGTCCTCACGTGACCGAGTTGCCGGAACGTGTGGGTTGTGCCGGATCGGTAAGAAGCGTCAGGCTCAGCGAGGAAATGAGCTCCTTGAGCTCTCTGCCCTGGGCCTTCTCGTAGTGGTAACCCCAGTGAGGGCTGGGGGCATTAAAGTCCCCGACAATCACCAGTGGTTGTCGAGCCGCTATACGCAGCGCCCGATGGAAGAGATGCGCAAACGAAGCCCTCGCAAGGCGAGGGGGACAGTACACGTTTAAGATATGTATTGATGGTTGGCCCCTCCGCTGAGACAGCACTGATATCATGCAGTAGTCGTAAGGAAGATCCAGATCGAGGTCAATCTGTATCACCGTGTAAGCTTTATGCACGAGGAGGCATGTGGTGGTGCCGCCTACATAGGAGCAGTATCCAGAAAGGGATGGAGCAGGGCCAGATTCTTGGAGCGCCAAGACGGCCGGCTGAGAGCCAAGTGAGCTTAGGAAAAGGGAAAGATGTGAACGCTTTCGCCTGTTCCCGAAGCCTCCATGGTTCCACTGTATGATCTCGAATTTAGACGCAATGTTTGAACGGGACGTACGATTGGTAGCCATCGTGACTGACTTAGGTTTTATATTTGGTCCTCCATGTCCCGCTCGGAATTCTCAGAGGCAGGGAGGGGCACGGAGGCCGGATTGTCCGACGGCGGGGTGCTGGTAGCCACCTTACGACGACGCCGTGGAGCTGTACCCTCACTGCTCACCGAGCAGGAGCGGGAACGCGATGCCTTGGGTTGAAACTGGGTGATTTCCCAGGCTTGAATAGCCTGGGTAACCTCTACTACTATGCGATGGACCGAGAAGCTGGTGAGGTGGTGATTAATTGAAGCTTCGACGCGCGTGAAGCGTTCCTCTACGCGCGGGGTGCGCTCTTCGCTAGGGAGAGTTTGGTTAGCGGGCAAGAGAACCTGAGGTGCCCCAGGAGCCTCAAGAGCTTCTGGAGTAGATGTGGCACCGGTTCCGAGTGCTGGAGTACACATGGCTGCTTGAACCGGCGGTTTGATGGGAGTGGACTTAGCGCGAGGACTAAGCTTGGACGTAGCTGGCGTAGCCGCCTGGACAGAGGAGGCAATACCGGATGGCCTTGCAGTACACTGTTGTTGGGTTGAAGTCGCTTATTAAGAGTTCAAGTTGTTTAGTTAAGAGAGAATTTTGTTTTGAAGTGCCGCAACTTGCTGGCGAAGGGCCGCAAGTTCGGGAGAAGGAGGATCGACAGAAGGGGGTGAGAGAGGCCCAGAAGCAGCTTTCCCGGCCCAACTGCTCACCTGAGGTACCGCCGCTGGTGCTTCGAGCGGTAGGAATGCTTGAGTGTCGGTGTGGAGTGGTGGAGCCGAATGATGCAGGTTGGTGCTGCTGTCTGGCTGTGATGAACATGAGGTGGTCCCTCGAGGAGATGTTGAGGGCTGCTTGCGTTTCCGATATTTTCGATATTTTGCCGTGCAGCCACTGGTCCCAGTCTCATGGGCGCCGTGGCAGAGGAGGCACTTGGGGTGGCAGTCGTGGGCATTGAGACCTGCAGGTGCGGGGGTTCCACATTTGGCACACTGGGTTGGAGCGGCGTGAGGACACTGAGGTGGTCGATGACCGATGGTACCGCACTTGGTGCATACAGGGACCGTTTTCTCGTAGGCGCGGATATACGTCGCCACGCAGTGGTAGAAGAGGAAGTGGGGTAACTTCGTGCCCTCGAAAGTCACCACCGCCGCCGCGGAATCTCCGAGTTTGCGGACCGCAAGGATAGTACCTCGAGGCCAATACAGTTCAGACTTTATCTTCTCCGGGCTTTCAGCAGGGTTTACGTTGATGACGCCCTTGCATGTATCCCTGGTGCCTTGGCGTGGCCTCGAACGGGCAGCTGCTGATCCCCCACTTGCAGCTGGAAGTCCCCGAGGAGTCGCTGTGCCATAGGCAAAATGGTGGTGCTACAGACCAAGATGTTCTGTTCCCAGATTGGCCACACTTGAATTTGCGTGGTAGTCTGGTCACCGAGGTAGCTGCGGATGGCGTCACCCGCACGATCGGCCGGGACAAATGTGCGTAGCTCGCAGGGAACGCGAGGTTTCACTACTACGATGTAGTCGTCGCGAGAGAGGCGAGGAGTTTGACGCGGACGCCACTTGCGTTGCTTCGCTGGCTGCGAGGACGTAGCAGAGGTAGGCACACCACCGGAGGGATGGCGCGCCGGAGTTCCTCGCAAGGCTGAGGAATGGTGGCCCGCTGTGGCGTCTCGTTGTTGTTGAGACGCAGACTTCGATTTCGCTTGCGTGCGTTGCCACAGTCTCACCATGTCGTCGAGGTATTCATCTTCTGATGGCATAGTGTTTACGGAGGATGAAATCTCCATGGACAGCATTTGGCTTGAGGTAGGATCATAGCCCGTAACCACGTTAGCGGCCGCCATCACCGGGCTGAGAGCCCTTAGCGAGGCGGCGTTGTAGCCGGGAGTGAAAAACGTCCCTCAAGTTGTCAAAACTGGACCCACCTGGACGAAGGTGTTGTCTAGGCGAAGCGGAGAATTTGGCGGTGACGATAAATCCATGTTTCAGGGGTACCAAGGTGGATGTCCGCAGAAATAGCACAAAATCTACGGAGGCGATGTGGAGTGCGTCCGTCACCATCGAGCGCTCGCAACGCCCTCCGTCTAAGTAGTGCGCTCTCATTTCCAAACAACCCTATAAATAGCCTTAATAAATTACGAGAAGTCATTTGACTCAGTGGAAACATCAGCAATGATGCAGGTACTACGGAATCAAGGCATCAACGAACCGTACGTAAACATACTGGAAGAAATATACAGTGGATTCACAGCCACCATAGTTCTTTATAAAGAAAGTGACAGAATCCGCTCCCCCCCCCTAAAAAAAAGGTGTGAAGCATGCAGACGCATCTCTCCAATGCTATTCATGGTGTGTTTACAGGAAGATTTCAGGGCCCTCAATTGGGAAGAGTTAAGGATAGCAGTTACTGGACAGTATCTTAGTAACCAGTGATTCACTAATGACTTTGCGTTGACTAATAACTGATGATACAAATTACAGCGCATGATTACTGAACTGTGCACGGAAAGCTAAACAGTAGATCTAGAAATTAATATCCATGAAACTAAAGTCAGGCGTAACATTCTCGGCAAGAAAACAGCAGTTTGTGATAGGTGCAGAGACAATGAACGTTGTAAGGAATGTGTCTATTCAGGACAGGTAGTAACCGCAGAGCCGAAGCATGAGAGTGAAGTAACTAAAATAATGAGGATGGGGTAAATCCCATTCTTCAAGCATTCTCAAATCATGACTGGTAATCTGCCGCTAACCCACATCATGAAGGTATATAACATCTGCATGTTGCCGGTACTTAACTACGGAGCGGAAAACTGGAGGCTTACCAAGAGGGCTCAGCTTAAATTGCCGATGAGCGATCAAGCTATGAAAAGGAAATTTATCAGTGTAACCTTAAGAGACAAGAAAAGAGCAGAATGGGTCAGGGAACAAACTACTGCTAAAGATTTCATAGTTGAAACCAAGAATAAGAAGAAGAAATGGACATAGGGCGGGCACGTAGCGTGTAGGCAGGATAACCACTGTTCATAAAGGGTAATTCAGTGGATTCCCAAGGAAGGCGAATGCACGAGGGGGAGACAGAAAGTTAGGTGGGTCGATGAGATTAAAAAGTTCGTAGGTATAAGGTGGCAGCAAAAAGCACAAGACCGGGTTGACTGGCGGATCATGGGAAAGCCCTGCAGTGGGCGTGGTCAGGCAGATGTTGATGATGATGACGGGAACCATGCAATGAAACAATGCGAGGAAACGAAAACCTGACCATACGTGTCTTGTCCCTCGTCCAGATACCCGTCTGCTACTCCAGGCAGGCACTCCCCAGACTCCTCGAGATAACACCAGCGTAGACAACAACGGCGATACTCCCCGCCCCATTTTCGGCTGAGTGTGAAAGAAGCACATGAGTGGCACCCCCTGCAGACAACTACTTATCCGAACCTGCGTTTGAAACATGTGATGCACCCAACCGCATACGCCAGTTCTTGCACGTGGTGTGAAGGACAGCAAACACCGGCTCACATTATGGGAATATGAGTTAAGCCCAGCCAAAATTAATACGCCTCAGATTCCGGCGAAAAAAATTCACTATGTAGCATTGGGAGAACTTGCTCGCCAGCGAGAAAAAGGAGATTCCAGTGGCGCTTCTAGACCAGGCGCCCGGGCTGCTGAGGTCAGTGGAGCCCTGGACTAGGGGCCCCACCCACCTGCTTCGAAACCTTATTTCATTTTTTTCCCTCTGTAATAAACGTTTTTTCAATTCCGTTCCCAGGTTTCTCTCTCCGGCAAAACTTGGTGACGTCATCCTCTTGGACTCACGCATCGTCCACGCGGGACGAAGGGTCGTCTACGCCGAGCTCGACATTCTCGATAAAGCTACGAAGCGCCTGTTGGTTCAAGGATCACACATAGTTCATATTTTGTCAAAACCTACACATCGCGAAGGTTAAGAGTAACATCTGCCGAGTAGAGTAAGAACTCGGTCGACACTCAAAAATTTCAGTGAAATGTCCCTGGCTGCAGCTAGTCTGTAAGAAAATACGTCATACAGTTATAACGCTATACAGACGATTATTGCATTCGGCCTGTCGTTGAGAAAAATTCACTCGCGAACGGCAATTTTCTTGGACGCGGCCCTTTTTTTTCTGATAAATAAATTGCAAGAAACACAAGTATGTCGACTTTCTCATCACCCATCCTTGGCTCCCGGCTCCACCACATACGACGCACTCGATTAGCTTAGTCTCAGCTGCAATTAGTTGACGCGTTCTGATTTTTTACCATCTATAGCACTAACAAATTTGCTATCGGTAGTACTATCGATAGCTCTTTCCTCTGATGATGATGATGATGTTTGATGTTTTATGGCGCAAGGGCCATTTCACGGCCAAAGAGCGCCAATTCATCTTACTAAAAACATGGACAATGATTGTGATAAGCGGCTGTATAAGGGCCATAAAATTCCTCGCGGTAAGGCGGGTAAAAACATACAAGTAATAAAATCATGACCATGTCGTGAAAGGTGTGTGCGGTGTGAATAGATGACAAAAGTTGGTGATAATAAAAGACGATGGTGGATATTTATGGCATTAGCACAAGTGCCTCACTCGTTCATACCCTTGCGTCCAAGGGCCGTGAGGCAAGTGCTTTCTTGTGTAACCACCGTAGCAAAAACCTCTCTGGAGAGGTCATGCTACAGGATGCCCGGGTGTATGATGTGAAAACTATGAATTTGTTTAAAAAACGCTAACAATGATTTGTGACTAAAAAGCGGTTCCCTACCGACGAACATTGCAGGGTGTAAAGGTATATGTTGTCGGTAGGGTAATGGAAAGTGTTGTTTTCTTGCAGTGTCCAATTGTTTGCACTCAATTAAAATGTGAAGAACTGTTAAAGCCTCACCACATTTGTCACACAATGGTGGGTCACCACCGGATAAAAGATGTGTGTGTGTCGTGTATGTGTGCCCTATCCTGAGTCTTGTTAGTGTTACCTCTGTTAGACGTGATTTTGATACTGGTGGCCAATGGCCAAGGTGTGACTTGATAACGTGTAGTTTGTTTTGTGTGTGTGTATCCCACTTGCTCTGCCAGTAGTCCCTGAGGTTTAGTTTGAGAGACGGCTTAAGATCAAGGGCCGGGATTGATATGGATGTAATGGCGGTGCTCTCATGGACGGATGCAGCGAGCTGATCCGCCCTCACGTTGCCTTGGATCTCACGGTGCCCTGGCACCCAGCACACTACAACATGTTGTTTGTGCGAGTATAGAGTGCACAAAATGGAGTAAAGTGAGACAAGGACTGGGTTTTTTTTGTTTTTTAAGACTGTGCAGAGCAGTTACCACACTGAGGGAGTCTGTATAAATTACTGCTTTTTGTATTTGTAATTGTTTGATGTGTTTAGCTGCCACCAGTATCGCGTAAGCTTCCGCTGTGAAGATACTTGTGCGTGGATGTAGAGGGCCAGCATCCGAAAAGGATGGGCCGACAGCAGCGTAGGACACAGAGGAGTTAGTCTTGGAGGCATCTGTGAAGAACTCAGGTTATGTGTATTTGTGTTGAAGTTCCAGAAAGTATGTTTGGATATGGGCAATAGGTGCATGTTTTGTAACCTCTAGGAAAGACACATCGCAGTCTATAGTCTGCCACTGCCATGGTGGCGGGTATGCTACAGGAGCCATTAAACTGTGTTCAAGTGACACTTCAGTTTCTTCAGCTAGACACTTCAGGCGAACTGAGAACGGCTGCCTCATCGAAGGCCTGTTTTGAAACAGAGTTGAGCTCGACAAATCATTAATTGTAGAGTATGAGGGGTGCTTCTTGTCGCTCTTTCCTCTCATAGACAGTTCAATAGTGACTCAACTATGGATAGTACCTATAGTGCTATCGACAGTTTTTCACCACTAGCCACTACTCGACATACAAGTCAAGGATTATGAGAATTATTTCTTTAATTGGATTCCAATATGAACAACAACAACAACAACAACAACAACAACAACAACAACAACAACAACAACAACAACAACAATAATAATAATAATAATAATAATAATAATATTAATAATAATAATAATAATAACTGAAGTACCAGAACCACGATATATTGCTTAACAAAGTCCTCAATATTCTCTGCACCCGTGGAGGTTATTCAGGGGATGCAACAGCGGTGCCTTGATTAGCGGGAAACAGTTGTCTTGCATATGTGCGTTAACTGAATTCACTGGTCTGGGCAGTAAGTAGTTGGCACTACATATGGAACATTGCTCGAGCTGCGACAATATTAATTATTATGAGAAAATGGCGTAGTGAAGTCACACGCCAAAAGAAAAAAAAACTCTTAGTCTAGGAATCGAGAAATGACCAACAAGAAGTCATACCTTGCCAGTTGAGTTCTTAGCGTATATAAGTTAGTTCCGGGTGTTGGGAACGATTTGGTGAAACCAATGGCATGATCGCGTGGCAGCGTTATCCTTGCAAAGCATTTGAGCGCGTTCTAGATACACCGTGCGCCCTTTATACTGGTGTGCTCGAGCTACGCAGTCATCGACGACCTTCGTAAATCGTAACATGAAAGCGTTGGCATAGACCGTGGGTCTCAAGCTGCCCTCAGCCAGAGAGCCACAGTGACGCATTTTATTCTCACAAAGGCCGGGGCATGGAAAGAGGCTTGAGCGCGCAGGCAAGGGGGGGGGGGGCGGAAAACGCAAGCAAATGCTGCATTTTAAAAGCAAAATGTTGCCCTGCCAGCCATTACCCAAAGAAATTCGGTGCCACGATTCACACAAGTCGAAGGCCATCCGCAAAACGAGTCAAAAGAGGATGGCGATAGTCAAACATCGTTCTTTTTCCGTAGTTATCTTTCAAGACAAGGTAACACACGGGAAAGCTCACGGAGACAACGCCTAAACTAGTCAGACATCTGTAGCTTACGAACTAACTTCGTTAGAAAATTTTAAAGAAATGTTGGGGGGAGACAGTCATGGGCGGACCAGGTGTTTGAGAATCCTTGCGTAGCAGAACGAAACCGGATGTCAAGGAGACATAAACGGCTCGAACGGCGTAAAAAGTATGCTTCAGTCGCCATTGTGGCTTAGTCAAGTATGGCCACTCGAACCGTTTCGTGGCCGTGCTAAGAACATATATTCCACGAATGACAGTATGCAGAACACTACCGAGGGAGAGCATTAAATTGTCCCAGTGCCACGGTGGTCAAGCACCAATACACTGTCTGTGGATAATGTGGTCACAAAAAATTGTTCATGATTTAGATTAGTAGGCACTGGAGTACCAGAGCATACTAGCAGAGTACTAGAGCAGTACTAGAGTACTAGAGCATAAAGCCGTCCCCTAAATGTTGGTTCAAAAGAGGGGGTAGAGTATAGTACTAAGTAGTCTACTACGGAAGCCATCCCGTGGGCTTCACGCTTGATGAGGCCCTGTTGACAAAAATTACGCCGTGAGCTTTGCCGGCTTGCAATAATGCTTTCATAGTGTGTTCAAAAAAAGATGCTAACAATTTAGAGTATACCTGGGAGAGCGAAAAGCCGTCCCGCGAGACTAACATTTGACGAGACCACATCGACAAAAATACAGGACACTGCAGACTATACTCGGCGACAACATTTATTGGCACTGAACGAAAAGCTACAGGGGTAGAACTTCTGCACATGTAGCACAACGCGACGTAGTACGATTTGGCGCGCGTCTCGTAACGCTATATGGTGCCTGGAACGTAGGTATATTCTAGGCACTATAGTAACGCTGTGGAAAGTGTAGGGGGCGCAGCATCCGCGTTTCGTGTAGACGCAGTCGTCGCTTAGCGTTTGAGGTACACGTAAGAAGGCGGGACTTTGTCGCGGGTTCAAAAACGCGAAGCCACCACGAATAGAATACTGGAAATACGAATATCTCAATGGTCTGAGCAGCGTCCTGTCTCAAATAGCTTCACGGAGAAAATAGAGGAGGGCCTTTTATGTTTCACGTTGAAAACCCAGGCGATATTGGGGAACTACATTCACTGGCGGTAGTATGCACGCGATTTGGCTCCGTAGCCTTCACTGCCAATGCCAAGAAAAGTTGTCACCGAGTAAGTAAGGGAAGTTTATTCTACACTTAACTTGTACATACACAAACGAAACATCGAAAACAAGTAAATACAGTGTATACATCTTACAAATTAGCACCAAAATCTAATTGATCACTGGGTGCCCAAAATGTTACAAGTCAAAGGAAAATTAAAATGAATCAAGTTAATCACATTCTACAGATAACACTTATGCATTTGTACTAGAGTGGGCGCATGGGTAGTGCGGAACCACCATGGAAACTTCCGCTGTCCCTCTATAACTTTCAAGAAACGTTTGTGCCATCATCGAAGGAAAGCCTCTACCCCGTATGTTTCCAGCTGCTGATCTAGGCAATTCCCACACATTGAGCCGTATTTTCTGGAGTGCGGGATAGGCGCCTCTATGAGGCTTGTGCCGTACTTCCGCTAAACAGCGTCACCACCACAGTAGGTACAAGGACTAGCGTTGTGCTCAACCGTTCTTGTAGGATTCGTAGCAGTGCGCGTTAGTAAGCTCCTCTAACAGCCGCGTCAGCAGGGTTAACATAATCAGAGTTTGCCATTAAAAATTTCAACTGAAAGTTTTCGTTGACGCATACAATAATGTGTGCTTACTCAGCGTCGTGTCCATGCAGAGGGTATTTAATGTACTGTCACAAAACTCTGTAGTTTCGCACACAAAGTCTTGTATTTTTATATTTACTTCGCACCGTCGGTACAACTGTGCCGGCGCTGGCAAGGATTGTATTTCATGTGTTATTCATTTATTTCTGTATATGGCGAGTATCCTTTCGAACCTCAGCAAAAGTGATTGGTCTGACTTCACTCCTTGCGCCGAGAGGAGTGAAGAAGCTCGGTTGTAGCTAACTAAGGGGATGGTCGCTCATACGTATATATACCGGTGCAAACTCTTCCCAGCACCTATCACCCGATAACCTCCGAAATTCACGCGAATCAAAGGTTCTAAGCCATTCGGTTGATGACACGTAAGATGCAAGAAAAAATGATAAGGTGTATTGAAATAAATATTATGTACCTCAGTTATGTTTTAGAAGTCATCTTACCAAATTACACAGGGATTCTCTTAAACGAATATTTGAAAATTTG